TCTTACTACATTTTGTAATAAAAATAATACCTTCCTTTGACTGAATACTTCTTGGCAATGGAGAAGAGGTACACCTTGGTAGAAGATTGTAGACATGAAGGATATTTGGTCTACCACATCTTTCTGGGACAAAGCAATCTCTAAGATTCCCCATGGTGACTCATCACAATTTGCCTGAATTTATTAACTCTCCATGTTTGTCAGCTTTTCTTGGTTGTTTGTTTTTCTTTTTCCTTAAGAGTTTGCAAAAGGTGAAGCTTCGATGATTTTTTCAGCAAGAGGGTGGGATGACTCTTTTACCCTATAGGATAAACTGTGATGTACACATGCCAGAAGTCCTGATGATTTTCTCCAAGGCAAATATTTTTTTAAAAGTATAACATTAGCAATATTGTCTGCATCACTTTGGCTTTCAGACTCTGGCATGGAAATACACAATAAACATATCAGGGTAAATTGATGAAAGGACATTATATGGCCACATTCCTTTGCAGTCTAGCTGTTATCAGAAATAGGTATGTAGTGGTAGAAGCTCCACAGATTAATTGGGTGCTTCAGTGTGAAGATTTTAGAAAGTCTAAATTGTGAATAGTGTCAAATCTTTTCTCCCACTGTCTTTGTTGCCAATTAGGCAACTTGAATATCATTCAGCAGTGAGTCCCGAGTAGTGTGAAATACAAGTGGTTTAAATGAAACTAGAACACCATAAAACTATTCACACAAAATAAACTTCTAAGTGATTAAAATGAGAACAAAATCAGACAATGAGTAGAGAGTGTACTTGTGGAAAGAAAATGTGCCATGAACAAAGATTATGAACATGCATCCAAGAGATGCTTATCACTCTCAATTCAGCAGCATGCAGCATGCACAGCCCCATGCTAAGGTGGCATGCAAAAAGAGAAACACACAAGAATCCACTTTATGTAGTTGCAAAACATAAAAAGGCATTTCATCAGAACAGCTCCTTGATCTGCCAGAACAGTTCAGGGTGTGCTAATGTAAAGCACGTTGGCAAACATTGCAGGGAAGGCAGGGGGTGAGTGGGAAAACAGGTGTATGGTTCAGGAGGAATAAGATAGAGTAGATCAGTTAACTTAGAGAATCATGTGCTTAATGATAAAAGGGTGACCAATTAGTGTCCCTGAAATCCATCCATGTGGATGAGGAATTTCAAACTCTCTAAGGCCAAAAATAGTTACAAAATTACCTTTTAAATTTTCTACTAAAATAGAACATCTTCTTCTAACAATAAAAAAATAAAACTATGAATACAAAATACTACTCAGAACAAAATACAGGAATGTCAAACAAATTATCAAATAGATGGAACAGACTCTAGCCATGAAACTGTAAAAGTCAGTTGCCTTCTGTATCGGAAAGGTCATCTTGGACCTCAGAAACGCCAGTAGAAGAATAGAGGTGCCAGTCAAAAATAATGTTCTTAATAAACAAATTTTCCACCTTTGGTTTTTAAGTTTTATAAGTGAAACTTGGGAAATTAACCCTGTAAGAAATGTATATTAATTCTTCATTTAGAGTCAGCCAGAAGGAGTACAAAGCAATTTGGATAGAGAGATTTGTTAATTCTGAGACAGTACTACCCATCCTTGGTAGAGAAACTGTAGTCCAGGGATAAATAAGATCAGAAAATCTATGCTTTTGAGGAAAGGTGGTTCAGCAGTCCCTCTGAGAAGCTATCACTTATCACAAGCATGTTAGACAGAAAGTAAAAGAAATTCTCAAGCTCCATTTCTCAACAGATGAAATCAGAAAGCAAATTTTTTATAATGTAAACAGTAAACCTCAAGTGGGCTGTCTATAAATGTCTTGTAGACTCCAACTAGTCACTGTTGCAGTCATGAGATAGACTTCTGGTTAAGGGAAAAAAAGAGTTTATGGCAACAACTCCACTGTTATCTATTGTAAAGGGCTGAGAACCTCAGATACTTGCTTTTGTAGAAAGTAAAATAGTAGTCTTAGAAGTTAATTAATATTGATACAATTATTGTGATTTACAGGAGGATCTGCATGCAGCTGGTCAGTATGAAAGATGAATACTAGCTCGAGAAACAAGAAAACCAGCTAAGGCTGCATGAAGCAGCTTAGGAAGAATTTTTCCTTATATGGCTTCCTATGAATTCCCTACATATATTTCATTCATTTTTTATAGCTAAGACTGCAATATCATGACAAAATTTTGCATTAAGTGAAGAACATTTCAGCTTCATTTGTTAAAATTAATAGAAGAGCATTAACTGACCTCCAACAGATTGTTCATGTAACTGAATGTGTTGTTATATATTTTGAGAAGTGTATTTGATTAATGAAACCTAAGCATCTGAGTTCTAATTTTAATTATTTGAAGACTATGAAATGTTATCCTAAGTGATCTACTTTTCTATAAATTCCTGCCTAAAATTCATATAAAACTAAAATAATCTAATATTGGAAGCAATTAATATATTTTTTTATAATAGCAATATTGCAAAAATATTATCAAAAAATAAATACTGAATTGCTATCATTGATCATATAAATTCATGTCTTTTGCTTAAGGAATCTAATAAGTGGGAGACTGCTCTTATAAAATCAAGAAAATGGAAATACATATTTGATGTAAACAAACCCACAGAAAGCCAATATACTTATGTGAAGGAATCTTCTATAACAAAAATTGTGGGGTTTTCTATTTCACAAATGGCACTATTGAGATTGACATAAATAATACCTATTTTGAAAGTATTGTAGTGTCTAGCTGACTGTAATTAAATTCCTCAGCTGATTTGCACTCAGATCTCTTTGTTTGGACAAAGTTCTTTATCATAAAATATATAGACTGATAAAAGGATAAAATATACCAGATTTTCAAGCTAGGTTTATTAAAGAGTGTTTTCCCCACATTCAAGAAAACGAATTATAGTTATACTCCAGTTCACAAAAAGACAGTGTGAAATGAGCAGGTTGCCGAGGATGCCAGCAACAAACGCTAACTGAGCAGTGTTTGGTGGCACTGTCGTCAATGATTTCTATAAAACCAGGCTGAACGTACCCGACCTTTACCTTGCTTCTCAGAAACACAGTGAAGATGCTTCAGCATTGCTTTTCACAGCTGATGGGTCAACTAAAGCTTGTTGGCAATTAAAAAGCAATTGAAAGCAATGTTATTTGTTGGGATTTTTTTTACTTCCCACAACAACCAGACACAAGTTTAACTTTAAGTGCCAAGAAGTGACTTAATGGGTCAAATAACAGTTGCTTTATGGGTGAAACCATAGGTGAACTTTAGATGTTAAGGGGCTACACCTACAAAGTAGATTATTTAAGATCCTTTGTGATGTTTTTTCACTTTTTGGGGCATCAAGCTGTCACCCTAGTTGTTCATTCACCTGTAAGACCATCTGACCACCCAGTGGCCACTGAATGTCTTTCAGCTGTTTAACCTGTGGTTTCTTAGCACAACTTAGTCATAGCACACTGGTATGACACAGGACAAACAATGGAAAGCAAGAGTTATGCCTTTTATCTTCTTAAATTCAAGTCACTACAGACTTCTCTCTCTACCTTGCTTCCCCCTTTCATGGTCTTACCAGTTTCATTATAGTTGGAATGGACAAAACTGAAAAAAACCTAAACCTTCCCTTCCCACAGCATGTCTGCTCTGCCTTCAGAGGGTGTCAAACAGGACAGGGAGCCACCTGGAAAAAAAGGGGCTTTGATATGTGTCATGGCTGCTTGTAAATGTCAGGAGAACTGTAAGAAAGATCTTGAAGATCTACATGCAAGTATTTGTCATGTGATTTGTTGATGGTACAGCTGTGTAAAGGCAGAAACTAGGTCATTCACATTGTTACAGATGGTTATTTTGTAAATTAAAGCATACTTGAAGGTCTCTAGTAGGTTTTGCTAATCTTTCTCACCCAACAAGCCTAAAACAGTTTCTCCATTTATAACTGGCTGTCCTTAAAAGTTGTAGAGGTGATACAGTATTTTGTTTCCTTTTAATGGAACCCCCTACCTTTCCATGCCACTCTTTGAGAATAGGTCCCAAAAACCCTCCCCTTACAGAATCCTAAGATTTTCATTTTCCCTCCACAAAAATCTGTGTCCTTCTCCTCTTTGTGAGAGTCTCTGTTTCTCAGCTACATCCTTAGGACTTCCCAGCTCTTTCTGAACCTGGGCATGTTGAGAGAGGATGTAAGCCACAAGACAGAGGTAAGAAAACCCAGCCAATTCAGAGGTGTACTAGTGGAGAGCTTGTTGAGCAAACAGCTGACTAACCAAAGTTTGTAAGGTTTAGTATACCTTTAAATATTGTCTCCTTGACTCTTATTATGAATATTACTGCTTTTGATTCCCAGGATTATGCCATTTTTATAGTATGTCCTCTTACACTAGATTTCATCAGGAAGAATATCTATTACTAAGATAAGGGTAAAGTGACTTAATGTGAGATGATGCTCAGTCATCATCAGTAGCTCCATCCTCTCTTTTGGTGAGGAATTAAGTGTCTGTGTTAGAATAGATTATCATGGAGATGTGGGAAGAGAGAATAAAAAGTACAGAAGTGATGGATCAGCTAATGTATTTTATGTACTAAGAACAAAAATGACAGTTCCATTTTTGAAGCATTTTGGGGTTAAGCCTTGTTATTTGTGGGGAAAAAAAAACCCAACAAATAATAAGCTATTAATAATAAGCTTCTTCCTTTTGCATCTCAACAAAAAAAAGCATGGAAAATTTTAGCGATTTCTACAGCCTTCCATTGACTCTATTTTTAACATAACCTTGATTTTAATTCATGCATTGTAGGCAGAAAATTAAAAGCTTTAAGAAAACAGCCATTAGCTCTTATGCTTTATTAAAACTATTTGCACACTCTTTGTTGCTCTTAAGAGACCTCCCAGTAATACAAAATGCACTTTTAATACATAAAGGAGCAAAAAGTCTCAGGGAAACAGAAGCATATTAGAACAGAGTTCAATGATATAGGAAAGTACCTGGATAAAAATCCCCTTGCGCAAACATGTCAATCACATAGCGACAGAATGCATATTGATCTAACAGAGCAAAAAGGAAGAAAAAAGTAATGAAGAAAATAAATTTAACAAGTCATTTGTCTTTAACAGTGAAGATAAAGCTTAGTAGTGCAAAGACATTTCAGTAGTCTTTTCATAAGTAGTCTTACACATATGTTTGTGGTTTTTTCCTGACCTTCAATTAATTCATACGTTCCGAAAGCAACAATTGTTATCCAGGTTTAATTCAAAACTCCTGTCAAAGATTGTAGAGCTTCTAGTAGTCCAGAGCTACCAGCTCGTCTTCTGGGCTGGCAGTGCACGACTGGTTTTGACATATATCCTAACCCCATGCACAATTAGTGTGCAAACTGCTGTCTGGACACAGGGCTCAAAGACTTTTCCTTATGCTTAAAGATCAATTTCAGAGACAGGTGATAGAAAATATTTAAAAAGTTCTCTATTGGGGTATTTTGTTAATATTGTTTTAACAGTTTAATGAATGCGTGCACTTAGTGAATGTGAATATAAAGAGAGAACTCTGTGTATTTACACTCCAAAGCAATGAGACTTTCTACAGAATTTAATTGATTCACTATTGAAATATCTTCCAAACACTAATCTTTACAAATATATATATGTATATATTAAATCTGTGTATGTATTAAATATATATTAAAACTACACTATTCAGAAATTAGGTCTTCTGAATCTAAATGAAACTCGGGTTCTAGAAATGTTGATAGTCTGTTGATTTCTCCTATACATAGGCAAACTGGTGACCTTAATAAAAATTTCTAACATTAAGAGTGTTGAAGAAAAGTTATCAGTTGTAACTGAGTACCCTGTGGACTATAAGGGGCAATAGTTTTGAAAAATAATGTTGATGACTAAATGCCAGCTCTGGTTAGCTAAGTTAGTAACTAACTGTCCTTGAGTAAGCACATCCATCCACCTGCCCTAGACTCTTCTAGCACAGTTCCTACTCTATAGAGTACAACTCTTCATCTCTCCACCAGCTGTTTCATCTTTGTCCTACTCACCTACAAAGCCACTTTCTCTTTGCCAATTAAAAAGAAAAACAAAAAAACAAAACAAAAAAAACCAGACTTTGGAATTATTTAAGTTTTGGAAATGACATTCTTGTTCTATCTAAATGAAAATGCCATTTCCAAGTATATGACACTCATTATATTATTTGTTTTCATACATAGCTCACTGAAGCATCAGTATCATTTGATGCTGAGGCATTTATGTAGTTGCTGCTCCGTTAAGTTGACTGTCATAGAAGTCCTGGGGTGGAGAACTGCAGCTTTCAAATCATTATTTCCCATGCAGATGTAGAAATTAGGGAAAAGGTTTACCAGACAACAAATAAACAAAAATCAACAATAAAATTGCTTTTTCTAATTGATATGAACCTATGCAGCTATTCTGTGTCAGTGAGATGGCAGGGGTAGTACTAATCAATATTGTAGAGCCTTGGGCAAAATTTTCATAATGTACACAGAGTTGTGGCTGTAAACATTGTTTTTAAAACCTCTAATGACTATTCATAATTTTTACTTTCATATTTAGGAATTCAAATTTATCATTCTGGCTGGATTTAACTTTGCATTACATCCTTCAGGCTGTAATATCTGCACTAAGTCCATATGATAATTTAAAAAAAAAATAAAAGTTGCAGCACATGTGGGAGAAAACAAGTATATATAGATCTGTGTTCTTAAACCCACCTAAAGCCACCGAAGTCAGCAAAGTGTTTCTACAGACTTCAACACATTTGCAACTAGGACCTCAATGAGTATTAGTAAAAAAAATGAAGCAATACCAACTCTTCAGCCCAGAAAGCCAATGACAGGGCGCAGTTCTTTTTCAAAAAGCTGTGTTCCTTACCTCTTGCCAAAAAAAGCTGCCTTTATCCATGCTGCCTGTTGGGAAGATTCCTTGGACCATTTTGGGGCAAACTATCTGTACAAAAGTCTGCTAGATGGCATGGTACAAAACTATGGCAGGGGACAATAAGCTACATGGACAATCACAGGACACAGCACAAGCCTGTGTTTGTTCTATATAAATTATGATAGAAACATAGCCTGAGGGCCTAGAATCACACCATTTCATTGATATTAAAATACTCTATCCTTTGAACATAGGCCAGAAATAAAACAGACTGCGTTATTGGTTATGTTGGGGTGTTTTTTCATTGTTTATTTTTAATTTGCTTTTCTTCTGAGAGGCTTTTTAGTTTCTTTTTTGTTTTTTTTTGTTTTGTTTTGTTTTTCATAAATGTAATTTGAATAAACTTAAAAAAAAATTCCACCTTAATCTTGATTGTACTGAGAACAAAGATTTTATATTCATTTTCTCCACATAGGATTTCTTTAGTAACTCAACCCCACAAACTGGGATTTATAAAACAAATTGAAGGCATTATTTAAAACTCTGAATAACAAAAATACAATTTCTACTGTATATGAAATAGCAAGGTGCTCTATAACATCCCATTTAAGTTCATGAGAATGCTTTCAATCAGCTAAGATTGAAATTTAAGAAATTTTAAACGAATATGATTTTTCATATGTCTCTTCATGGCTAAAAATCCCTTTTAATTTAAACACTCTTATTAAAACAGAGAATTTCACACTATAAGTTTCACCTTATAACTCTGTAATGGTGGCCCAGATATTCATCTAAGTGCTAATAAATCCTGTCAAATTTTGGAACTGGATTCTTAAAGATAAAAATACTCACAGATATTTCTGTTCTTGAACTTCATGTGATTTACCCAGAGAGATAATCTATCTTTTTTTAATTTCAGCTTGAGAAGGAAATGATGCAACATTAGGGAAATCATAGCAACTTTCTGTGATCAGTGCTGTATTTTTTTATTTTGTTTCAGATAAGCTGGCAGAACTACTCCCTTGAGCAAGTAAAAGTAAAGATCAGGAAATCTTGGTAAAACTGCATTGAATTTAAAATTATGTTCAGCTTGGATCACAGTGGGACTGAAACATAAAAATGAATTTTCTGAGAGTATCCAGCTGGGTAACAGTGGCTTGTGGTGGAAAAAAGAAGGACGACAGTAGAAAAGGCAGCTTTCACTGGATGTGTGTGTAACCCTCTCTCCAGTGATAAGGACAGCTGAAGAGGCTCCTTCCTTCCACCACTCCAGCTGATAATTCTCACTTTCACCTGATAGAATTCTGTGCAGAGTCCCTGGGGTCACACTCCAAAGCAGACTCACAAAGTGATCTGTTAATGTCTGATGTCAAGATGGATCATTTTGCTAACATTTATCAGCTAAAAATGGTGAAGATGTGTGGTGTAAAGCCCACAAAAACCAAACCAACAAACAAAAAAACACCACTACTCTCTACTGGTCTCTGTAATCCTTGATACCTACTTCAAATATTTTACTGGAAGTAAAGTGTACACCATTTCTTTTTGAGAGCTTTATACTGAACAATATGGACTGGATCCCATGTGCACTGAAACTCTGCCAGAGCAAACAAAAATTGAAAGAGATTTGCACCTCCCAAGGGAACTGAAGAATTTGCTGAATTTTCTCTTTGGTTACAGCAATCAGTGTGATAGATGCTGCTGCGATTTCATGCCTCAGAGGTCTGAATATTTCAAGTAAAAGCCAAAATTGTTTAGAATACTGTGAAAAGATGCTAGTTTAGTACACTGTGCATGTCAGAAAGTGGGCTATGTCTCTCAATTTTCCAGAAACGTATAATTTGGACAACTCCCAAGGGGTCCAGAGCTGATGGCTATGAAATTCTGAAAGAATCTGCCCAGGCAGATTCAGATATCCAGTAATGGATGTCTTCTTTGATTCTCAGGCACAGCTTTATCTGTGGTGATCAGCTGAAAGGATCAGATAGGTGTGTCATGCTACGCTGAGTTGCCCCTATCAATGTCAGAAAAATCCCGTGGCTGCAGTGTGGCAGTTTATACAGAAAACCAGGTCCTGCTGCCTGTGTTCATACAAAATTTTACCTAATGGCATGAAAGGGTCACAGAGAAATCAGAGAACCAGTCAGTGCAACCTGGGAGTAGAAGAATCCGGACTTACTCTGAAAAATAGGAGCATATAGTTACGCCTTTGCTATCTACATGGTGTTGATGCATGTTAATTCCTTGTTTTATCACTTCTTTTCTTCCTTTTACCAAAGTAATAGTATTTCTTTCTTTTTTAGGAGAAGTTTAAAAGCTTTCACATTAAATTACATCAGACAGGTATGACACTATGTCATACATTACCTGACAACCTGACAGTGTCTCATACAATATGATGTTAAATTAAATTATTACATTGCCTTTTCTCTGTTGCTACTTTCTTTGTCATTACATAGGACGTGTGCAGATGTAGAAGCAAAACAAAATTCCCAACAGGTCATTTAACAATCAGTATTTTTCAAAATAACTCTGCTAGCAACCCATTATACAAAACCCTACTGAGCAAATCCATGAAGTCTCAGACCTACCTGAAGAGAAATTGGTCCTTGGTAAAAAAGGATTTAAATTAAAATGAATCTTTAGCCATGACAAACTGTTAGAACCTTCTGGTTATATACATAAAACTTATTTTATTTTCAGTAGTCTCCTCCTAGCAGTATGAGATTCATTTGGAATTTATTTGTACTGCACTTTTGTTTTCATGGGCAGATTTTGGTCCTTGACAGTTTTAACTCTGTTCTCTCTCCTTCTTCCCTACTACCTTTTTAAGATCTTCATCTGTTTCCTCCTCATTTTGTTTACCTTTCTTGTCCGATTTAGATACAGTCTGAAGAGCTTTCTCTTCCTTAACTTTCGTTTTGGCCTTTATTAGCCCAGTTTCTGTTGGTTTAATCTCTGTCTGCTTGACCTTCTCGGCCGCCTTTGTTTCTCCTTTTCCATCCTTCACTTCCTTTTTAACTTTTGCTTCCACTTTAGCGCTCTTTACTTTCTTCTCCTCTGCGGGTAATAAAGAAAAAAGCTTCAGTGTCATTCTTTCCCCCCAAAATAATAATCAACGCCATTTATTTTACATCGTGCTAGTACTAATCAGCATTTGTTCATTATTAACACCTTGGTCAGATCTGATGAAAACTATAATCCCCTCAAACCAGACAGACTTAAACAGAAATGTGAGATGCAAACAGGTTATAACTTCAGTCCTGCACCAAGTACTTGACTGATACTAAATGAAGTAGGCTATGGCAAATAGTATCTGTGTTTCTATTGACAGTATGATAATTATTATGGTATAAACTAGGGAGATAAATGTTGGTCATTAAGCAAACAAATACAGATGGCACTTCCAGGCAAAATCTGAGTAAATTTAAACTTCAGAGATCACAGTTAAACTCTGTTGTAATCTGTAAAAGTAGTTAGTGTGTGGCTATTTTTAAGGGTAACTTTCATGCACTAATTCTACATCTTTGTCCAAGAAATCTTGAGTTCTTGAGTCTATCTCTACACCAGTCCCCCAGGCCGAAAGACTAGCCTGAGACTAATTCACAAGGTGCACTGCAGCAGAGCAAGGATATTTCAAAGGAGAATTACCAAACTTTAAATATCAGTAGCTGAAGTTACACAGGGCTTGGCGAGATCTGGGGTATTCCATCTGCTTTTATGTGTCAGTAACTTTTTTCTCATCTGAGGCATGGATGTTGATAAATATGTTTGTTTCTAGCTCACTCCAGTGGAAAATCCAGGTGTATTATAAAATGCCACTGAATTTGTTTTAAACTAATCTTTTAGTTTGATGTTCACATTTCTGTTTTATTTGTAGCTGTAAATGTCTTCATCCTTGAGGTAAAACTTGTATGCTACCAAATCTATGTTTTCTGTAAGGCTCTAGACTTCTATTTCTATTAAACCACTGGGTTGACTAGACTGATTTTATCAATATATTAACAGAATAGATCTAAGTATTATATTTCAGAATGTAGATACTTATGTAAGATCATTTCTCCTTCCAAACAAAGCCACAGCACAGCCAGGTATTGCTGGCTAGTGAAGAATTAATTTCCTTAACTAGTTATAGTGAAAATACATGTCAGATCACTTACAGATAGGCCTAGTTGTTTTTCAGGGAAATGGTGGTCCATACTTTTAATTCTCGTCTTTGAAATTTCAACAGATTTTAATCAAGCATAGAATTAATCCCTGGATGTTCTAGAGACATTCTAATTATATATTAATTTCATTTTAGTTTCATGTAGCTGATTTTTCATGCACCTTGAAAATGTCTGCTTGAATAAAATAAAGTTTATGTATTTTAATGTAAATTTGATTTAAAAAATATAGATAAATAAATACCTTTGGGAGGAGGTTTCTTTTCAGTTTTTTCATGTCTTTCAGGTTTGTCTTTTTGAGTTACTGGAAATGAGAACAATTGTATGTTAGGGAAAAAAATCACAAAGAATGAGAAAATACTGCAAAAACACAGTAATATCCCTGGAAATTTCACATTTCCTTATAATTCCTGCTTTTCAGTTTTCAAAATTATCATTACTTTTTCTCAGGTTCACACAGTGGGGTAAAAAGCTTCAAAATATCTGTTGAGACTCTAACCAGAAGTCACACAGATTTGAAGCTTCACTGGGAATGTTTACACTGCATATTTCAGAAGATACAAGTGTGCTCATCTCAAGCTCTGAGAATACACAGACTTGTTCTTCTCGTGCTCCAGCCAAAAGGAAGCCATGTGGCTACATTTGTCTTACAGAAAGGCGATTTTCTTACCTTGAGCTCATTGTCACACAAACACAGCCACAAGCCTGGCACTCACTTCAGAGCCCAGTCTGAGTGAGTTCATGTCTGCACAGGATACACTGTGTAAACACACTGCTATGTCCCAGAAAGGCTGACAAAATTTTATGCAGAGATTTCTATCTTTCCCTCTTGGTCACCATCCAGACAGATTGCCAGAACAAAACAGCCTTGAGAGTTAATTACGCTTGTTTCAACTGACAACTACATAATAACAACATCCTCTCTAATTGAACTCCATCCTGGAATTGCTGCTTGTACAAGCTATGACTGATATTTAGACTTGGGTTTGGTTTTCTTTTTAAGATAGCTGTTTCTTAGATGATGTGTTTAAAAAACATTCATATCACTGAGGCTTTCTGGAGCCTTTAATACAGGCTGAAGAATTATCTTTGGTCTTTAAATTGAGAATAAAGAAAATCTGACAAATGTAGGGGAAGTATCTGATTTTCAGGATACCCGTTCCCTGAGGTTATCCTGGACCTGAATATCCTCATTTCTTAGGGACTGCAAGTGGTTGAAATAGCCCCTCAGCACTGATGGTGGTTAACCCAGTTTAAAGCAGACCCCTGAGAAAAGGGAGATGAGCCTGGTAATAGATAACTCAGTAGGACACTGCCAGCAGAAGCGCACCTTTGGATACACTGAGAACGACTGCCTTGGTGCCCTGAGTCCTCCCATAGGGACTCACACAGCAGGGAAACTACTCAAGTGAGGGCAGTATGACTGTGTGTCATATTGCAGCAGCAAATCTCCCCAGCTACAAAGTGTCCAAAGTCTTAATAAAATCTTTCAGCCAGTGACTGGAGTTATGGCTGTTATTAAACACATTAAAGCTCTAAGTGATTATTTGGTTAGCTAGCAGAAGATAAATGAGTAAACAGGCTGGCTGCTCATTAGAACTATCTCAGTGATTCTTGGAAGTTATTTGCTTTTCAGATCTACACAGACGCTTTGGGCGTTTATTTTCTCTGGATTACTTCAGTGTGATTTTGTTTTATGAAGAAAAAAAACAACCCTACATTTTCATGCTATACACTAAAGTAGAAAAAATGAACAAACATTCCTTTAAAAATATCCCTTTAAAAGGGAATGGCTACCTTTCAAATTTTTTAAGTCTTTAAGTCTTCATTCTGCTTTCTCTTTTTCTTCTCTCCTACCTTCTGTTCTACCTTTCTCCACAGATTATAGTCAAGCACTATCTGAACAGATTCAAAATAAACTTAATTAATTTATGTATGTCTTCATCATGAAAGTAATCTGAATACCGTAACAGACCAATAGTAAGACACATTGCACAGTATTTTTTCAAGAGTTAACTGAGTAAAGTAAAAAGAGGCAAAGACTGAAACTGAACTTCATTAAAGAAATGTCTGCCTCAGAGAAATATTTAACCTCAGAGAAAAACATTCAAATGCCAAGTAACAATAAATGTTAATCTTTAAAAAAGGACATACTAGGGCAAGGTGATTGGATTTTTAAATCCCCCTGTCCATATCATAGCTAAGATGGAATTATCAGTCAAAAAAATAGTGAAATTCACCTCTTGCACATACACAATATTGCTTCAGAATATGTATGATAATTAGCTGATATGTAAATCTTAAACAAAGCCACTTCTGCCATTGAGGACAGTGCAAATCATGTACTGAAATAAAAATGTTACTGAAAAATATAAAGGCAAGAAAATCAAAATCTATTTTTGGATATGATGGAAGACCCAGACTGAGAGACAGTAAACACTCTTGCATTAGATCTGCATCAGACTGAAAACTGACACACAAGAGAAAACCTACTTTGCAGGCAAATCACCGAATCCCATTGCTGAGGAAAAGGCATCAAGGAATGCAAATAAAACAGTCATAGGCTTAGTTCCTTAGCTGTATAAGAATGATTTGTAATTAACTCTGTCCATCAAAACAAGAGAGATAAGCAAGAGATATACGCTGAGCAAGAGTTCACTCAGGGGCTGATCAAGACCTACTCAAGTAAAAGAACACCCAAAAATTGTACAGCATGAACTAAAAGAGATTTGTACATTAAATACTCATCTCCACACTCTCCCACTCTATGTAAGCACTGAAAATCTAAAGTTGTGCAATATCTAAACACAACTTTCGTTACCTTTAGTAGGTGCTTTCTTTTCAGGTTTTTCTGGCTTTTCAGGTTTCTCTTTGTGAATAGCTAGAAATAAAAACCAACATTCTTAAAGGTCATTTAAGAAGATAAAAGTTGCATTTTAAGTGACAGTGAGGAGAAAAAAAGATGAAGAAACACAACTAGGCAGGTTATCCACACAAAGAATGTAAAAGATTGATTCAGCTGCTGCTGTCTGCTGTTGATGCCAAAACATGGGATTCAAACTTTCGAAAACTCATCTACCATTCTTGAGGTCTTTGCCATTGGCTGGAGGAGGAGTGGCCTTTCTAGTTCAACTGTAATCCTGTGAAAGAAGCTAGTCAAGAAGAGTCATACTTATTGATGTTGTTTAGGGGTTTCTTTTTTCTTTAATATATATTTATATAGTGTAATTTATTTGTTAATTTTATTTTATTTTTATGTTTGAGCTTTCTTGTTTATAACTTTGGTTAGTATCTGAAGGATTTTCTGAACTCCACAGAGCAACTAATAGTTTTTCCAGCGATGAATGATTAAACACTATAATTAATTACAGATCTAATTGCAATGACATTATAACTAATGCTCTTTGGGGCTTTTTGTTTGCTTTTAATTTCCACTTTACAAATTCAAATTATCTACGCTGCAGTGACTAGATTTCTGGCTCAGGTTTCAAAATACACCTGAGTTGCACAATAGTCACTGAGTGGTGGGTAGTCTGGAATATTCTCCTACGTGGGCTCTGATTTGCTAATTTTTTGTGATTAATGTTTACACAGTAATTTGTCCACGGGTATGCAGAACTGATATTTTCATATGGTCATATTCCCTACAGGGACCATGTGTGTGAAAGCACTCAACTCCCTGTTTGACTCTGGTATATAAGATTATACACAAAAATATATGAATGAGCATTGTGTTGGTGTTTAAAAAGAAAGTAAGAATTGTGGAAGATAAAACAGTGCTAGATAGTTTTTATTGCAAGTAACTACTGAAAGAATTAATCCTATTCAATGTCTTTGAAACGGCCCTACACAGCATTATATTTAAAATGTTGTTTGTTTTTTTTTTTTTCTCATGATCTGCCTCATTACCTTTGTTTACAGTCTGTCAGGTGTTTCTTTCTTGGATGACCACAGTCTCTTAGCAACCATACTTATTGTGAGTGTTGAAAATACTCAGTGATTACCATGAGATTATATTAATCCAAAGTACAAAATATATTATCTCCCTTCTTCATAAAAAAACCTCAAAAACATGTAGAAGGAATACAAAATGCTACTCGGTCTGTGAGTCCACAAACCTTTATATAATCTCATTATTTTTATTCATATTATTCTATAACTTTTCTGTCCAATCAAGGGGTTGCATAAATGGAAACTGAGTAGAGAATTAGTTCTGGGTTATCTCCAAATATGAAATAAAATCTGACATTAAATAATTACCTGCGTGCCTTTCCTTTTTTTCCGGTTTTTCTTGTCTTTCCACTTTGTCTTTATGTGTCACTAGGAAAGAAAATGTTACATATATTAAAAAGAAATAATAAAAAAAATAGTGGAAACATTTAAGCATCAAAAATAATTCCTAAGCCTTAGGAGACAAAATGGCACACTGTGTTACTCCTGAGCTATCCCGTGTGTATTTGCACAGCATACATCCCTCTTCACGTGTATGAGCAGTCAACTCCAGCTAACAAGTTACTGCCATGGTAACATGCCTCAGCTGTTTACTATAGTAGCATCATCTCCTGCAATTGTCTGTCAATTCTCGAAGAGAGATTTTCAGAAAACTGTTGAGGACTAAGGCAGAGCTCACAGTAAATGCTGCTGCCTGCAATAGAAAGAGGACTCCACTCAATCCACTCCATACTCTGTCATAGACATAGGTTGTAAAATTCCTGGAATGGATCCTGGAGCGTAAGAGCGTCACATGCACAAATGATATATGTATCACTTGCCAGATGGCTTGAAATGGATATCCAGTAATGGATATGGATAGCTAGTAATGGACACTAGCTGAGATCAGTCTCTGGCAATGATGATCTCAGAACCATAATTAGATGCCCAGTATGTGCAAAGTGAAGACTAACATTATGACAGTGGAAACTGCATTATGCTGTCCACTAAGAGCACATTTTCCACTCATTTTTCTTAAGATTTTACACTATAATTTTCCAGAAAATTAAAAATAAACATGTAGATTTTATACCACTTCAGAAAAAACTGCAAGCTAGCTTTAACTCCTGTGGTGATTTTATTCAAGTTTAGGAAAACTCCCTTTGACAAACATGAGGAAATAAGGAACTTCCATTACAGTACCATGAATTCTATATCTACATGGAAGTAAAAGAAGAATGGCATCACCAGGCGGTCAAGGGAGGGGATTGTCCTGCTCTGCTCTGCACTGGTGCAGCCTCACCTTAAATATTGTGTGCAGTTTTGGGCACTGCAATAGAAGAAAGGTATGAAGCTATTAGAGAGCATCTACAGGAGGGCCACGAAGATGTTGAAGGGCCCTGAGGGGAAGTTGTATGAGGAGCAGCTGAGGTCTCTTAGTCTGTTGAGCCTTCAGAAAGGAGACTGAGGGGAAACCTCATTGCAGTCTACAACTTCCTTGTGCGGGGAAGAGGAAGGACAGGCACTGATCTCTTTTCTGTGGTGACCAGTGACATGACACAAAGGAATGGACTGAAGCTGTGTCAGGGGAGGTTTAGGCTGGACATTTTAAATGGTTCTTCACCCAGAGGCTGGTTGGGTACTGGAACAGAGATGTGGTCACAGCATCAAGCCTGATAGTTCAAGAAGCATTTGGTTGATTCTCTCAGGCACGTGGTGTGACTTTTGGGAATAGGTGCAGGGCTAAGGGTTGTACTCAGTGATCCTGGTGCGTCCATTCCTAGTCAGCATATTCTGTGATTCTGTCCATAATAGTAATTTTTTTTTTCACTTGTTGTCTGAGATTGGATGGGATAATTCTTTTCGCTTTCCAAAAAACTTAAAAAAACTTTAAATATTATTCTCCCGTGAAATCAAATTGAAGAGTTTCCTGTTTTCCACAGAACTCTTAAAGACACATTCGTGTTTTAATATGGGAAATTATTGGTTTTGAATTGTCATTTTTCAAAATTTCAGAAAAAATTCCTTGTGTTACCACCATTCCATTCTCTAGTAATAAACATTCATTCCATCAGAAACCTGAATTTATATGTCTGCCATTAACCTCAAAATTTAGTCTTGTTTACTCAGTGTGTTTTGAGTTACTTATATAACATTGAAAAGCTCTAATCAGAGACCATTAGAAAGGCCTAGTTAAGCACAGATTTCAGGAAATGTACGTTCACTCAGGTTGCGAGCCTTGTGTTCTTGGCCTGAATAAGTCTGCTGTTGCTGGATATTCAGTCTTCCCCTTTTTTTGGGTGATTTATTATGACCACTGGCCTATCTGCTCTTCCAGAATGTTTCTTCCTCCAGCCCAAGACCACATTAGTCACATTTTTTTGCAAAGGACATGTTCTCAGAAGGCTTAAATTGTTTTGACAAGTAGGTACCCTCCAACAAAGTTTCATTTTGCTAAAATATCCCTCACAGAAGACTATGGTGAGATGGTGGCTCTTGGAACGCAGAGCTAACTGATGAGTTGTGGGTGGAGAGTAAGCTGTATCCTGATTCTGACTCCTGATTCTGTCAGATCTTAATTTTTTGTTAGCATACACTACCAAAAAATTAATAAATTGTCTCTAAAACTTCTCCCCACTGTCCCTGAAATGAATCTGGAACACTTTTTATTTTTTTTCTCTAAGGAGGGTCTCCAATGTAGAATGTCTCCAGAGGCCATGTCCAGTACGTTGTAATTTACTCATTACATTTTTCTAGGAGTATTCTCAATGACAAATATCATGCTTGGATTTATTCAGGAATTCAAAATATTTTGTGATTCTCTGGTAAGAATAAAAAAGTCACCTATTTATTCTCTGGGCATTTTTTACATAAGTTAATAATGCAGTAAAGATTTATTCATTAGTTCCTAGATATAATTTCAGACTTTTTGTACAGTGATGGATTCAAAGTGCTTTTAAAATCCTTGTTCTCCTTCCAGCTGGTTTTCACAACACCTCCTCCATCCTTAAACATAATTGGGATCTAGAAAAACAGTCTAAGAGTCAATAGATTAGATTATTTTGTACCACTGGTAAAAAGACATTATAAAATGCTGAATACATACCCTTTAGGGGTTCCTTCCTCTCAATTTTTTCTTGTTTTTCAGGTTTATCTCTGTGAATTGCTACAAATAAACAATAAATGAATAAATAAATACAGCACAGTTCACAATAAATCCATAATCTAGAGGTATTACATACACTTATCTCACCAAAATGATCAAGGAAAAGCATCTGTAAATTCAAATAGTAGATTTTAGCTCTGAGTCATGGTTACTTGTTGATGTATAGAACTTCTTAATGTCAATATTTAATTCCAGGTCCAATAGAAATATTTTTATTTGAATAAGCTTTAAGATGTTAGACTATATTTTTCTAAAAGAAATGATTATTCAGCAACCTTAATCCAATCTGTCTGCTCTCTTTTGGTCCCATTACACAAGCACCCTGGCTCTAAGATTTCTGACAGAAGAAATTATTTTCAGTACTTGACAGCATTGCTTTCTATTCTTAACCAAAAAACCTGCCAGCATATTGCTTTCTATGCTATTTTTTCTTTATTTTTAGCTGTTACTTCCGTCACAGGGTAGATTAACAAGAAAACATCTCTTTTAATCAGTGTAACTTCAGGAAGAGCAGCTGTTCCAAACACAACTGACTGCATGTCCTGCTAGAAGGTGGCAAACATGAATCCTTATGGACCCTATTACCTACTCAGCTTATAGACCATGTTTTGGTATGGTTCTATCCCACATCCTAATGATTTAGGTAGACATTTTTTCTTTGTCATTCCTTGTCAACCTGTTCTACTAAAAGACTAGAATTTTGCAATTTCACGGAAAAAATTATTTTCTTTTTGGTACCCAATTTCTGCCAATAAGTAAACCCCAGAAAACAAAATTTTGATTAAAAGACAACAATGAGCTTTATACACAGGCATATTAATGCTTGTTTTCATTTTACCAGCTTTGTAGAGAACATCATTTCACAGAGGTACAAGTATTTTTTGTTAAGAGTTTCTGCACTAGAAAATAGGTCATTGTCCTTAAGAAAAATAATTCAGAACATTCAGTAAATTCATTATGTCTTATACGTGTTTACATTATCCAAATATATTTCCAGTCATAACAGGTAAATTATTGTTGATAACAAATAGTAGTGTAGTGGAAAGAGATTGAAGGGAGATTTTTCAAAGCCTTTAGGAATGTGGACAACAAATTTACACTAAAAAAAGCAGGCTGTGAAAAATGCAGCAGTACCAGCAATGTATTATTGAATGAATTACAGACTGTAACTCATTCAGGTGATTTAGGACATCTAGTAGCATACCAAGGAAAAATCATTCTTCTCTCTATATATACCATGTAGAACTTAAACTGAATATTTTTTTGCAGAAATTGTAGCATGCTTTTACAACTTAAATTTGTATTAGCAGATGCTCACTCTATGCTAAACCCTTCAAAAAGTGTGTTATCAGTTTTGGCTGGGGCAATAGAACAGTTTTGCAAACAACAGTTCTGTGATGGTCAATATAAGTGAAACATGAGCTTCTGCACATTCAGACAAAAGCCCTTGTAAGTGTTTGTGCCAAAAAAAAACACAGATGAACTATTCAGAACAGATTTGTAATCAGAAAGCTTGTTTTTAGCCACAGGATATCTTATTTGTGTAAGAGAGACTATTGTGGGCATGATTAAAGGAGAAAAAACCCAGAGCAAAACAAAAAACAACACTAGAAAATGAGCCTTGAATGACACTAACTGAATTGAGTGTCAGCAGACCTGAAAGTGGACAGAAAAATTTAAAATTCCTTCATATTCTCAAAGCCATATAAAGGACTAAGATGCATAAAGTTATTAATGTTGGTGTGGACTAGAGCTAAAACCATGGAGAAGGGATCAGTTGGTCCCTTCTTGAGAAATAAAAACCTTGATGTGTCTGGGCAGGGAGCCCGGAATGTTGATAAGAAGAGACCAGGCTGGCATAAGCATAAGCTATTTTTCTCCTCCCAGTTATAGGCTGAAGGTGATCTCTGGTTAGTTCAAGAGCCCTATCCTGTGGCTGATATCCCCATAGCCTCAGAGGTTGCTAATCTCAGGTTGTAATATTTACCATTACCTCTTATGGACACTGTCAGAGCTATGGCTTCCCTAATTCGGGAAGGGCAGGTGCTGCCAAAAATTAAAGTGTTCATGTTTCAGGGATGTGATGACTGGTCATTTTTGACTCTTCAATCACAGGTCCACTAAAATGCACTGAAGCTTTTGATCTGACAAATTTAAATATGATATTTGTTAGCATATTAACTCCCCCTTGAAAAGTTTTTGTGTTCGGCTTCATATATAGCCCTAAAAACTCTGTCATAGAAAATACATCACTGACTATAGATCTTTTCCAGATTTTGTCACTTTGATGTCTATTTCTTTGTAAAGGGCTTAATACATGCCCTTTTTCAAGCCCACAGCACTCGATACGAGTATTAGGTTTTAGAATAAACCAGGCTGACCGTACTGTGAAACAAATTAGACTTGATCAGATTTTCTTTTCCATACAAAAAAAAAAAAAAAAAAAAAAAAAAAAAAAAAAAAAAAAAAAAAAAAAAAAAAAAAAAAAAAAAAAAAAAAAAAAAAAAAAAAAAAAAAAAAAAAAAAAAGAGAAAGCATATAAAACTGTTTTTAAGGTTGCTCAGTCACACACTTTTCAGTTGAGAAATGTTGAAGCTAAAATTGTTCATTCAACTTTAATTCAACCATTTTATTTGCTTTATGACACACTTTATAATTAAAAGATCGTCTCTTCTCTTCTGTTAATAGGGTGCTGGATTCATCAGAAAAAAAAATTAAGAAGAATAAATAAAACATAGTTTTAGTTATTCTTCTTAATTGTGTAAGCTAAAAATTTTCCACAGCTTAAAAGAAATTTTCTCATACTTTGCAAATACCAGAAGTCATAAACTCAGAACGAATCGTTATTAGCACTGGAAAAAAATATAACACCTCAACCCAAATTTTCACTAACCCAGATTTTGGAAATTGCTGAAACATTTTTATATGTCTTTGAATGAAAATTCAGCCTGAGGCAAAAATATGAGAATGAGAAATTTCATCCTCAGTGACTGGAGTGTGATAAATTTATATATAATCTAAAATTGGAGCTTATAATGGAAAATTTTAAGGTAATTTAACAATATATTTCAAAGTTAATATTGCTATCTACTTCACATAATATTAAAAAAAACAACATAGCATATATGCGAGAGGATTTTCCAAATTTCAATCATCATAATAGATTCTATTTGCATCAAGTTGAAGACATAGTAAAGGGGGACGTGGTTTAGTTTTTTTCCCATAAAGTTCTCCAACAAAAATATTTCACACCCCAAAACAGAAAGTGCAGAAATAAGAGATGTAGTAAGCAGGCACTAGTTCCATACGTAAGGGAAGTAAAAATAGTTTCCAGCTGAGTAAGTCTTAAGTCTGCTGCTTAGTATAAAGCTAGGTGATGAGTGCAGTAAGCATGAAGCAGAGATTGCTCGCTCCAGCTAACTGACTAAGTGCTTGTCTACAGAGCAGCACTTCAGGAAAGTTAAGATAAATGAACTAATACAATGAAGTTAGAGTGCATTAGTCAGAGAGCATTAAATCTCTGTGTAGATGCTTTCATTCGGAAGTAAAGTAACTGTAGATGGCTATAACTTAATTCTTCTTGAAGGAACACTGGGAAAAAAAAAAAAAAAAAGGCTTGATCTGGAGAGGGTCATAGACTCCCAGGTCCAAATCAGTAGTTTAGGGAAACCACAGTTACATCACTATCTGTACCATGTTCTCTAGCTTAAAGTTAATGCAGGCATTACGTACCAGTACCTCAAGAAATCAGTCTAGACAGCCCTGTGTCGAAAATATACCATTTAATTTGCTAATTTGGTCAAATTATGTGAGTTTCTAGTATGTTGTGGATTTATATGGTCCAGGTCTACTTATCTAATTAGCTTTCTCAAATACTTTGTCTTCCAGCTACAGCAAATTACATTATTGGGAACATTATATTTGTATTTATAATCTCACAATTTATCCATATGTTAAAATGCAGAGAGCTTTATTCTGGGATGTTTAATATTTGCATTATCAGTACAGCCTTATTAACAAGTCATTATGCTAGTTATAGTAAGTGAAATAGTCTTGAAGGGCCTGGATCCTATTTGTCAAATCATCCTGAATTCAGAGATACTTTCTGAAAGAAACCCATTGTGGTTATTGTCCTAAAATCACATATATTATTTAATATATGTCTGTCAGAGGTAGCCATCGTTAAATTGTTTTATTCCTTACCTTACTCCAACAGCAATGTACTAGTGAAGAGATTTTGGGAAAAGGCACATGGTTAATCAACCTTTTCCCATTTCTTCTCAATGCCTCTTGTGATTAAAGCTAGAGCATTTCCCAGAAATTCAGGACAATTAGTTTTCCATAAAAATCCGAAATTATCATTGGACCTTCCATTAGACAGAACTTAGGTATATTTTTGTCTTGATATTTTTTATTATTGTTCTTACTTGATGACAACATAATGCACAGTTACATCTTATTTATTGCAAGCAATAATAATAACAATAATGACACTTATTTCTTAAATAGCCTTCAGCAGCAGCTCAGAGTCCTGCAAAATCTACAAAATATCACAAAATGGTGAACTCACAGACGGTTGGCCCAGGCTGAGACAGCACCATCCCTCATCCACTCAGGACAACTGCTCCAGCCCTGGCCATTGCAGTGGCCCCACATTGAACTTGCCCCATTTTATGGATGGCTTTCCTGAACTGGATGCAGTATCTAGATGTGGTCTCAGGAGAGTTTAGTACAGGGGGATAATTAATCCCTTGCCTCCATTGGCTGACCAAGCTCCTGCTCATACAGTCCAGGACGTCAATGACCCTTGTGAAAGTACTAATACATCAAATACCAATTTGGAAAGACCCTGTTTTGTAGTGAACTTATGCTTATGTGTACACATAATCATTAAATAATTTGATATCAGGGTTCTGAAGTGTGACCGACTGCTTCATGGAATTATTTCTCATAGTATTTCTTCTTTCCAGGATTAAATTGACTACTGTAATTGAAATGGACATTATTACTAGTAGTTTATCAAAATATTTAATTAAAAGCAAATTTTAGGGCACAAGTTTGCCTGGTTCTCAATTCTGTTAGAATCTTATAATTTCAGCCACTTCCATCTGGGATTTTTATTCATTACAACTATTCTTCATATTTCAGTTCAATCTTTCCAAAATGAGGTTTATGGAATGGAACTCCCTTGTAAATTGTGGAACTTGGAATGGGAGGGTTTGACTATTAAAAAAAAAAAAACAAACAAACCAAACTAAATTACTTCTAAAACTCTAGTGTCCTCACGTGTTTGGGTGGAGAATAGAAATTCTTTCTGTTGTTTGCTGTTATTAAAAATATTCATTTTACCTCTGGATTTTTCCTGTTCATAACAACAAATATAGTCTTTGTACATACTTCCCGAAGGTATTTTAGAAGGAAACAGTAAAATTCCACTAAAGATTCATGACTTTATCCCACTCTAGATTGAGGCCACATAGAATGTTTTCTAGTAGTTGACCCTTCTATGTACAAGTTGCATTTCTGGGACTAAACACAAAAACAAAACACAGAAAAAAGATTTTTCTTGTGCAGCTTATTGTATAACTAAAAACTGTATTATCAGGTACATACATAAAGGGACTTAACAAATGAAATGTGAACTTTTTTTTTTTTTTTTTGCATTTACAACTTCTTAGTAATCATTTCTGCAAGGTTAATGTTCTTCTATGTAAACCAGTGTAATCCTGTATACACGAAATGGTACACAAGAGGCTGTTCTGGTCAAGACTGCAACATCATTTGTGGTTTTTTTAGATTACTGTGACCATAACTGGGATCCCTTGATAATGGATCTGAGTTTGTTATTGCCTGGCTATATGGTATCCTAAAAAATTCCTTTTGATCCAACATGATTTACTTAGTAGTTGGGAAGCAGTCCTAGGCACTCCAGAGGACCCTGATTAGGACAGAACTGCTAAGCTAACTCTAGACATGTAAAATACTATAACATACTAAGAATATATGTAGAAATGAACATAATTGTGTGAGAGAGGATGTATGTGTATAACCACTATGTTTAATAAGATTCCTTCTGGCTTCCTCCTGCCATTACCAAGCACAACAGTTGTGCATCAGAGGGATGCTTATCAAGTTTTATGTGGCCTAACCTTTACAGGAGAGCTTTCTTAGGCAAAAAATCTGCACATATTTCAGGAAACTTCTTTGTTTACATGACCTCTGAGAACCAGTCCAAACCAGTTCCTCTGTGGATTTTTGGAAAGTGCCAGTTATAAGAGATTAAGCAGTGTGAAAAAGAGTAGGTTCTCAAAATGGAGGCCTTTCTTATCTCTGATACACACCTGGCTCACTCTTAACTATGACTTTCTAACTTGGATGGCACCCACTGGCCTATAAACTTACTTTTTCCTTGCCTAACACACTTCATGCCTTTTGCATCAGAGGAATTTTCATCAACACTCTACTTTTTTCACCTTTGCTAGAAAAAAGATTACTGGAAAAGTTTGACTTGGAAAATCTTATTAAGAATGTGCATTTACAATATAGCCACATAAACATAAAATTACATTTTTTTGTTACTGCTGAGATATACAGGAATTTTTACTCTTTTACAATCAGTACCAACTGATCTTTGAATGCTTTTATAATACAACGGTGTTAACATAGTTAACAAAGACATGGTATAACATATATGCAGGCAAACAGACAAACAAACAAAGTTACCCCTTGTTGGTGTTCGTTTTTCAAGTCTCTCCGTTTTCTCTTTATGAATTTCTGAAAAGAATGCAATGCAGATTTATCAGTTTTAAAATTATTTTCACACATCTGATGCATTCTTATAACAAAACAATTAAATGTGCTAATGCTTCAAATATTATAGCAGAACCACAATTGTATCACCTCCATATTCAGAATTACATCCAATATTATTCAATTATATATATATATGTAGAAAATATATATGTATAAAAATCACAGCATTAAGTATCTTTAAGAATTATTCTGTTCTTAATTGAGCCATACAGCTACTTTTAAAGACAAGAATAGGTTTTGCTGATCTATATACAGAAATATGTTGGTCATGAATCAGAAAAAATATCTTTTTACTAAATATTTTCTGTATGTATCTTGAGTTGTTTATCAAGATTAGCAATGCATGTTTTCCAAATTATCTTTGGAGAAAAAGAATTTCTTTGTGCTATGTTTTCTCAAATTTTTAAAGCTCACATACTGAGCTGGTATCTCCAACACACAGTAAAAGGTAGACTCAATGCTGTCTAAAAATTACAGAGATAAAAGTTTCCAGGTTAGGGTTCATAATCTTGGAGAACAGCATTTTAATAATGCTGTATACCAAAACACTGAGAACTACCTTGTTAGAAGAGGAAGCAGTTACAGTATTTATCTGCCCTTTTTATGCCATCTCTTTCGAACAAAAATCTTCAACTATAATATTGATATTAAATTACTGCTATATGCCTCCATAAGTATTTTTTTCTCCTGTCCTTATTGTTCCAAAACTAGGATAATGCTGAAAATTAAAAATGTTGAGAATTAAAAATGTTGAGTTTTAGAAAGAGCAAACCAGAATGAAATCAAGCTTTCATAGCCCTGTTGACATGTAGTTGTAGAAATTCAAAGGGTATTTATTATAGGTGTGTAATAAATTCATTAAAACTATACAGAGTGCCTTTTTATGGTATTATGCATATATTTCCTGCAGTAGGAAACTGGTATAAAATCCAGGATCATATTTGTTTTTGACAAAAGCAAATGCAGATCTCACTAGACTATGGGAGGTGCCTCCTTGTTTTTCAGTGTCACTTTTTGTCTGCAGGGTCTAAATAACAAGAACACTGACCTGAAAGTTAACCCAACAGAAAAAAGTAATGCATATTACATTTCCACTCTAAGAAGTTACTTTAATGCCTATTGAGGACAACTGAAATCTTCCACTTACAACCTTAGTTGTTTTCTCAGGTTGTAACAGGATTTACATTGCCAAACAAACCCAGTAGAAAATGAAATTTTCTCTCCCCAAATCTTTGCACAGGTCCATGAAAAAAAATACAGAATGTTTTTATTAGATAGTATTTGGCATCTGAAATAATGATTGTGTCTGGTTTGCAAAAACATAACTTTTCTATGATATCAGGCTATGTTTTCCTTAGATAGAGGAGACATTATTTCATCAAGATAAAGACTAAGAACAGGTAAAATATACACCACTGTTAGCTGCTAGTGCATGACAGCATAACTAAGCTAATTATATGATGTTATTAAGCTAAAAGGACTTTCTATTCATTTTTCACCTTGCTCTTTTCAGCCTGGTGTGTAGTTCATTTATTGTTCTATAAACCTCTAGGCTGTGATTAGGAAGAAATATACTTTACTGATTTACTGTATATCAGCTGAACAGGGATCATTTTTCTTTCTTCGTCTATGTGAGAATATTTTATTTCTATTGACTAAGAGAATCCAGTTGCTGGATTCCCACTTCTTTTGCTTAAATGGATGCATGAACTAGTTTACGTGGTGTAAGTGGTAGGAATGGTGCAAGACAAGAACAGCTGGAGGATTGCTCCTTAATTCTGGGCACATCTGATCAGTTCTCCATGCTGTTGCTCCAGATTGCCTCCAAACATTGACTCAGAGGACTTAATGAAGGCTGAGTCACTTCCTCTACATTGCAACATACAGTCGAGACATATCTCACCCAGTTCAAGAGGTCACCCTATATACAAAAATAATATAACCTACTAAGTGATAAATCATATTCTTCAGGCAGAGGCATTCAGACAGACACATATTCCTTGCTTGTCTTAAGATGCCTCAGCTCCGCTGCGTTTTTGTCATCTGTTATGTGTCTCAATACAGAAAATAGGCATGTTCTTCTTGAAAAGATAAGTATAAGCATTTGTTAATTAAAAAAAAAAAAAAAGTGAAGAAATGGCTTTAAAGTTACTGTGGGTTTAGGAAATTTATTGCTAGTTTGACTACAAAATATGTATGGAGCAACGACTGTACAACTGGTTGTCTAAATCAGGCTCACATTGTATGAGCAGTGAAGCTTGCTTCACACTAATATTTCAGTGTGATGCACAAAAAGGTACTTTCTAGACAACTGCACTGAAGTGTCACCTAATTCCCTGCTACAATTAGGATACCACACATGCAAAAACTGTACACAAATTCCTTGAAGTGAAATACGTCTTCAAAATAATAATATACGCACAAACGTGTGCATATATGCTTTCATATATTGCAAAGCGTCCCATAATAAAGATCTCTTCACAAACTCCCCATGATAGTCTGAACCATCATAAATGTTGCATCCATTCTGATATATTACAATCCAAATTTTCCCAGCACAAATAAATCTCGTCTCAACATAAGCTGTTCTGGATCAATTTTCAAGACAGAAAACAGTGACTATTTACTAACTTCAAAATATTTGAAATAAGGAAACACATTAGATTATTGGATATTTTTTGTTGTTGTTCTGAGAGTTCTGATATTCTCTGCTTCATCTTTCATGACAAATAGCCTTAATTTTCTACTAATCATATCATATCTTATTGCTGAGTTGAGAATGTGGCTATAATATCATAGAAGACTTACATGGCCAGTTTAAAGCATGTAATTTATCTCTATCAATGACACATTGTTAATAAATCCTAAATATTATAAATTTTTGTTTAGAAAAATGACAGAATCAAGCAGCAGCAAGGATAATCTTTGTCACCACAGCAACCATCCAGATTCTTTATGAGATGACAGCATGGTTTACTAAATTATTGTAAAAGAGTATGTATTTTAAAAGCTATATTTCATTGTTTGTTTTCTCAAGTTATTAAGTAGACATGAAAAATTAACTTTCTCCTTGTGTTTCTTCATGTTTGAATGGATAAGCACTTTATTTCCTTAAATATGGATACTGCAGGTCTTGTGCAGATACACAGAACAGGTAGGGTGATTATTTTAAATAACTCCAAGAAGAGAAGCTAGTAGTCTTCTCACTGACCATTTCAAGATGCTCAAAGGAGACACATTTGACTATACTGTTAGCAGGCTGATGTATTTATGTACTCCTGACCCAAAGCAGATCCTCACAATCATCGGACGATCAGTGTTGCAGGCAGCTTTACTGAAAATCCCTGCTGAACATGCAGTCCAGGCACTAGCTTCCCCCACCCCTCACCCAGCTAATTTTCATTAACAGCACTTGACAGTGTCTAATGACAGCACAGTACTGGCCGTGCACTCCAGCTCCAGGAAGATCAGGGTGGGAGAAAATAATTACAGTCCCTCGAATCCCTGTGAACTAGGGTGTCAGCACTTGCAGGTTTACATCAGTGCGAATGAATAGCACAGCCATTCATGGTAGGGAATGAGGAGATTCTCCTGGTCCTGATTCCCTTCTTTGTCTGTGTTTGTGTTTCTGATTTTGATGGTTCATTATCTTTTCTTTTTTTAACATGGTAAAATAGATGGCATTATTCTTAGCTATTTTAGTTGTATTGTATTATGGCAGCGTTTAGGAGCCTCAGACTGCATTAATTACTTTAGGTACCACTTGGGGTTATAACACAATATAAATATCCCATCTCTGTAACACAGGAATTCAGACTTTCTGAATTCTTCTCTTAGCGGGAAAGCACAGGTCCACATCTTGCTTCATTAGAGTGGTGACTAGCATTCTGGTATTGTTAAAACAGCCCCTAAACCTCACCTTCTGCTGAGTTTTTATCTTACAGATGAAATATACCTTTTAAAAATCCCAATAAACCATATAAAAAATGTCAGTGATAGGAGAGAAAAAGTGAGGGAAAAAAAAGGATTATTGTTCCCATTGGAAACACAAGAATGCTTTACTGAATGTAACCCAGAAAGTCAGCAAAGGACCTGGGACTGAACTGAACTCGGAACTTAACTCTGAACCCTTACATTCAATATTATTCCTTCATGCTTAAAGCCAGCCTGTTTCTACTTAAATAGTGCAGTGAACATGGAATGTAGTTTTAATATATCTAGTATTTTAAAGGTATAATTAAGCATATGGAATTTTATGTGAAATGAAAATACATTTTTTCTATGGAACTTTTACCACTTGGTTGTCTTTTTCATAATCTGTTACAGGTAAGACAGCACTATACCTCTTCAGTGCTTTGACATTCTTTCTCTTATAAATATCTAAGTGTGAAAAGGAAAATGAGTCCAATTCAGTGTCCTGTGAGCCAGGACATGATTAGCTTTTGAGCAATTAAAACCCTTACAGCCATTGCCAGCAATTTAATGGGGCTATATCTTAGTTAGGTTATCAAGACTAATTGTTAGCAGGCAGCTGAAGAGTTGGTGGAAATAGATACTGAGGGTAAGGCAAGAGTGAGTGATGTTAAGGGCTTTGGAAGATGAGAGAGATGTCATTTCTAATGTGTTTTTAGATGTCGTCTGTATGAAGAATTTTAGTCAACTCTCTTGCTGTTGGTATCCTCAGGAGAAATCTGCAATTGTGCAGCTGATGTCTATTTTTAATCCAGACAGTACCAGCTGGTGAGGGTGACAGTTATCCTTGTGGGGCTAGGAGGAGAAGAAAGGAAGCTAGAGCAACTTCTAGCTAACTTCTAACACATCACATAGCTGTACTCTGGAGGGACAAAAAACCAAAAAAACACAGCAAAATCAAAACAAATTTTGCAACAGCCAAAAAGCATAGGGAAAAAAAAAAGGCAGGAAATATTTAATTGAGTAATTAAATTAGTGTATTGAGCCTA